TGCATCACCAGTAGTATATCCAAAAGGAAATAATGAATCATATGGCTCGCCACTTCCTGTACCAAAAGAATATCCATCATCACCATGATAACCACACCCCTATTTTCCTTATACTCCTGACCCAAGGAACATGATAGGTGTTAATTTGTAATAATAAGAAATAAATTAAAAATTTTCTATTACCGGGCATAAGCAAATTATTTACATTAGCTGAACAGTCAATTTTTTAAATCGCTTTGCTTTGTGTAATATCCGATTTCAATCATTCTATTAATAAAAGATTATAAAAAATCAAAGTTTATGTTATGAAATAATTATTAACTCTTATTTTTTCCTTCGTTAATAATTTCAACTTCAAAGTAAAATGTCTCACACGCTGAGGGCATTGGACGATTTGCTCGAACGATAACAACTTCATAGTTTATTAAAAAGTTTTATTAATAAACTAAAAGGCCATGATGAGATTCTTAAATGCAAATGATTACAGTAACACATTAAATCTTATTCTGCAAGATTGCTCATTTTCATATTACCTGTATAATTCACTTTAAATCCACTTGAATCTATGTCAATAAACGGTGATTTGTCTTTAATATCCCATACAGTCGGCAAAACAATATCATTGTTTTTCATTAGGTTAAAATTGAACTCAGCTCTTTCGTTTAGACAATAAGTGAACATATATGTGTAAATGTCGATTTTGTATGTGAATACTAGCGCGTACACTTACGTTAAGTAATATAAAAAGAACTTTCTCTGTAGATCGCAAGATCAGGTGCAATCTGAAATCGGAGGCTTTTTAAAACATCGCCGGTAACTATTCATAATACAATTTAAATAAAGAATTGTTATTTCCACCCCCATTTTTGCTAATGCCACCCCCAAAATTTAAAAAATGCTCCGGAAGAGGTATTGTTATTAAGAAAACCTTCTTTTTGGTCTTAATAAAAGTTGTTCAGTTCTAATGGTAGTAAAATCATTAAAATCAGACCAGTAGTTCCTAAGATATTTATATTTGAAGTTAGTTAACTTTTATTTATATTTAAAAGAAAACTATTAGTCCGATTTTAATGATTTTACTACCATTAGAACCAGAAAGGCCTGATGAACAACTTTAATTAAGACCAAAAGGAAGGTTTATGTAATAAAAATACCTCTTTCAGAGCACTTTTTGATATCTGGGGGTGGCATTAGCAAAAATGGGGTGAAAATAGCAATTCTCTTTAAATAATAAATATACTCATACTCATCAAAATATATATTAGCGTCATCTATAATTAATATCAAAATTAGTTTACAAAATTTATCACAACATTGTACTAATTACTGCATGTTGATTAATAATACGTATAAAGAAATTTAGCAATATATCATAAAATAATATAGTGTACCAATTTAGTTACAATTCATTAAATTTAATATAGTATACCAAAGGCAGTAATATCAATATTATCATCAAATATAATTGCCAATATTAGTACCAGTATCATGATACTTTTTTTATACAGTGTGTATTTGTAGGCTTTTACTATTGAATATTCACTTGGCTTATTCAATTGACTGAAGTAATATTTCAGATACTCTTGTCGCAAAAATAACAACTTAGTGTATTTGTAAAATATTTTCATATAAGATTATAACTAATTATCACCCTAGGTGTATCACCCGGTATTATAACTTTTTTAGAAGGTTTAAATATATGTAAAATTTGGTGCTGAAAACTTTTGCTTAGAAGTCAACGCATGGTTTTCATAATATGATTTTGAGTTATTAAAGTCTTTTTGGTTTTTTTTTTTTTCGCTTTGTTTTAGTTACTCAAGTTCTTGTGAGCTGATTGACTTTTATACAACCGGGTAATATCACCTAGAGTGAAAATTAGCAATAAAAGCAAATTTTTAACTTGCTTATATTATTTTATTAAAAATTGCATTGTCTCAAAAACATAAGTCATCTAATTTTGAAGATATAAATATCTATAAAACCACATAATCAAGATTATTATAATGCCTGTTAATTGTATAAAAATTTCTTTTTTATATTTATTTAGATTATATTCATTAAACTCTAACTTAATTTTTATATATCATTCGATATTAGCAATTATATACTATATTCTAATCTCAGCAATTATATTACATATTTATACTATATTCTAATCTCAGCACTATAAGTCCTAAAGATTATCAAAATTTGTCGAATAACGGTAATTTGGCAAAACCGGGGCAAATGAACACGTGCCGCTTCGCGGCACGTGAGCCAATCATTTGCCCGGTTGAGCCAAATTATCGTATTCCCAATATTGGTGTTATCCGGCAATTTATGATCATGATTGGTAGGGAGTCATCGACTGAGTTTTAATTTGAATAAACATGATTACATCGTAACACATGAAAAAAATAACAAGACAGATGGCAATTCATCGATATTGTTATTGTCGCACTGTTTTGTCATGTGACATTTGGTTGATGAGTCGCTGATCAGCCCATATGTACTGTCTTTTTTTGTAAGTCATATGATTATGAAGAGTGGTGTGATTTAGTAAAGTCATTCCATGATTGCCATCAGCATGAAACATGCGACATTAGACATAACGCCTGATAGGACAAATTTGGTGGGTCTAGTCCCGACACCCAAAAACTCGACAGATCATAATACTGACATCACGCGACGTGACAATTAAAAATTTAAAGTTTGACAATGATTTTTAATGTGATTACTAATCTTTAAATGTCAATTGTCACGTTACGTGATGTCAGTATTATGACCTGTCTATTATAAATAAAAAGAAAAAATGCCTAACTGAATAATCATAATCACTACTGTAACAAAAAATGGAAAATAATAAAATTACGAGGAAAACCCAAAATACTAATACAAAAAAAGTAAGCAAAAATACGAAATTAAATTTGCCTTTTACTTGGACTAAGAAAAAGGTGGCTAGTTTATTACTGATGATTTGGTTATCGGTTAATGGAGTGAATTGTGGAGAAAATCTCAAAGAGTGTATAAGTCATGATACAGGATTCTACAGTCAATATGATACAGTGGTGAAGTTTGCTAGTAACATAGCTGATAAACAATTATTTTGTTGTAATGTTCCTATTGGTAGTACAGATGTAGGTTGCTCTCCCATGTCTCCTAATTGTCCTTATTATCCTAATTATTTTCGCGGACA